CACTAATACACGATCATCTCAACCGATGCAGAAAAAGCATTTGACAAAACCGAACATTTCGTTTTGTGATAAAAATACTCCGCAAACTAGGAATAAAAGAGACGTCCCTCAACATGATTGCTGTTCTATATAAAAAAACTCACAGCTAGGGGCGCCTGGGTGGCTTAGTCAGTTAAGCGTCCGACTTTCGCTTAGGTCATGATCTCGCGGTTCGTGGGTTCGAGCCCGGCGTCGGGCTCTGTGCTGACTGCCAGCTCAGAGCCTGGAGCCTGTTTCAGTCTGTGACTCCCTCTCTCTCTGACCCTCCCCTGCTCACGCTGTCTCTCTCTCTCTCCTACAAATAAATAAAAAAAAAAACATTAAAAAAAAAAACAAAACTCACAGCCGATACTGATCCACTCAATGGATGAGAAGCTGAAAGCAAGAACACCTGCTTGTACCACTGCTATTCAGCATTGTCCTGAACTGAGTGATTTCAGCAAGAAAAAGAAATTGGAAAGGAAGAAGTAAAACTACCTCTATTTATGGATGACGTAATACTACATCTAGAAAATACTTAAGGGGGCACCTGGGCGAAGCTGTCGGTTAAGCGTCCGACTCTTGATCTCGGCTCAGGTCATGATCTCATAGTTTGTGAGTTCGAGCCCTGTATCAGGCTCTGCACTGACAGTGCGGATCCTGCTTGGAATTCTCTCTCTCTCAAAATAAGTAATAAAAATAAATTTAAAACACAAAATACTGAAGGATTCACAAAGAAATTATTAAGGCTAATAAACTAAGCAAAAGGGCAGGGTGCGAATCAACATACAAAAATTAGCTTCTATACACTGGAACTAACAATATGGAAAGGAAATTAAGAAAATAATTCCACACGCAATAGCATTAAAAAGAATAGGATCCTTGGGAATAGATAGGATCCTTGGGAATAGATTTAACCCAGGAAGTAAAAGACGCACATACTGGAAATTGGAAACTGAAACATTACCGAGAGAAATTAAGGTCTTGAATAGTCACTTCTCCAAAGGAGATAAACAAATGAGTACCCAGCACATATAAATACATTCACCACCATTAGCTGTTAAGGAAATGCAAAGCAAAACCACAAGGAGATACCACTTCGTATTCATTCAGATGTCCATAGTAAAAAAAAAAAAAAGAATGAAATGCGTTGCCAAGGACGTGGACAAACTGAGATTCTCATACATCACTGGTGACAATATAAAATGGTGCAGCTGCCCTGACACACAGCCCGTTAGTTCTTCAGTGAAGGACACGCAGAATTACCATGAGACCCAGCAGTCCAGTCCTCGGGGTTTGGACTGGACACCCAAAAGGTTTGAAAACGCACGTCTGCCCCAAGATTTGCATGGAGATGTTCGAAGCGGTATTATTTAGCATAAAGGCAAGGTGAACAGATTCCAAATGGCCCCCAGCCGATGAATGGATAAACCAAATGTGGGGTATCTATCGGGTGCATTGCATCTTGGCATTGTTATTACATTGTATCACTTTGCAATAATATCATTGCCATGGAATATTATTCAGCAACACACATGAATGAAGTGCATGCTGTACCATGGATGAGTCTCAAATTTATTACCCTAAGTAGAAGATACCAGGCGCAGCAGGCCACACACACACACACACACACACACACACACACAGGATTCAATATATATATGAAATACCCGGAAAGAGAAAAGGAAACCAGTAGAGACAGAAAGGAGCTTAGCTGGGCCAGGAGGGCGACTGGAATTCATCGCCAGTGGGCACGAGGGATCTTTCTGGAAATGTTCTAAACCTGAGCCGTGGATATGGTCGCACAACTTACTAAAAATCACTGAATTATTCATGTTCAATGGCCGGAATTTATGCTATGTAAGTTACATCTTTTTTTTAAATTTTTTAAAATTTATTTCTGAGAGAGAGAGAGAGAGACACTGTGAGCAGGGGAGGGTCCGAGAGAGGGAGATAAAGAATGTGAAGCAGGCTCCAGGCTCTGAGCTAACTGTCAGCACAGAGCCGGACGCGGGGCTCGAACCCACGAACCATAAGATCATGACCTGAGCCGGACGCTTAACCCTGAGCCACCCAGGCGCCTCATGTTATATCTTAATAAAGCTGTTAAAATAAAAATAAAAAAGAGGAAATGAGTTGGGGAGGGGTTGTCTCAATTATTTTTCCCCGGTAGGCCTCTGGCTGAAATGTAAATTTAACCACTTCCTCCCCATTGACCAGCTCTGAATAGTAGCGGGGGCTGGGCCAAGTTGAGAGATTCCCATTACACTCTCCTTCCGGGACCTGGGGGGGTGGGGCACGCTTGTGAAACAAGCACAGATCCTAAGGGCCCCCCTCAGGGGACCCTTTCCTCAACACAGATCTGTTTCTGAGGGGACTCGTGGTCACCCCCTGGACATGGTGGCCGTTCAGTCTCCACCCCACCCCCTCCCTAAGTCATGGCCTGAGCAATCTTCTGAAAATGTTCACTGAATGGAGCCACTCCTCTGATGAGAACCTCAGAGGTCTTCCAATTTCCCTTGGAACCCAGCCTGTGTCCTGCAGGGTCCTAGGCGGTGCGCAGGGTGTGTGACATCGGTGGCCCGCCTCCTTGCACGCCTCTGCTTGCTTGCTCTGTTCCACCACACTGTCCTCAACGTCCCTGGAGCAGGTCACGTCCTTCCTGCCTAAGATGTTCCCCCTACTGCTGAGTCGATGGCTTGGGCTCTCATCAGTTTTCTGTGACACTTAGTACAATTTGCATTTCGTTTGTCCACGAAGGGCTTGCTCGGTATTGGTGGCCAGTAGGCAGGGATGGGAGAATGGATGGCTGGGTGGGTAGGTAGATAGAAGGGTGGATGAGTGGGCAGGTGGGTGAATGAGTGGGTGGAGAGAAGGGTAGGGAGGCAGACAGGCAGGTAGAAGGAGGCAGGCAGGAGGGATCAAATATCCTTGGATTAACATACGTCCAGAAGCAGTGTTGTGAGCGATCTAGAACATAGCCTGGAGTCTGCCACTCACCAGCTGTGTGACCTTAGAGAAGTCATTGACCCTCTCTGAGTCTCATTTTCCTTCTCTGTAAAATAGGGACAATGACCATGATGAGTTTTAAGTGAGAATGATACATCTTTGAAGTCCTTAAACACCCTGGCACAGGGGTGCCTGGCTGGCCCAGTCAGTGGATCGTGTGGCTCTTGATCTCGGGGTTGTGGGTTCGAGTCCCCTGCTAGGTGTAGAGATCACTCTATAAAACAACCATAACTAAAAAAAACAGGCACAGAGTAAACTCTCAGCAAGTATCAGCTCCAATGGACTTTTCCTTTTCTTGATCTTTTGACCACTCCGATTGCTGATACATGGTATTGTAAAACGTACCCTGAAGATCAAGAGAGAGAAAAAGAAAATCTGGCTCCCTCCCAATGTCAGTTCTCTAGAGCACACAAGATATTTCAGCAGTGAGGAAGAGAATTTCTATCGGGCAAACATCCTTCAGATCAACCACAGGGGAATTTGTACCAAGTTCCTCAAAAAGAGCTAGAAAAAGAAAAAAACAGAAGAAATAAATAGCGAGATGCTTTCTCTTTTTCTTTGGAGCCGTCATGTGGGCTAGCTGCAAACAATTTCCCAAAAGCGAGTCAGCTGCGGGGGGGGATCATATATGTTTTCGAGCCATCCTGTGTCGTCAGTACAGCACCAAGGGACCATTGGGTTCTTGTTTTGACTCTTTTTCACAGCCCGGTGCAGGCTTAGGAATTAGATTCTCCCGGGTCCAAATCCCGGTTTAGGGCACTTCTTAGCTTGTGTGACACTTCACTTCTCGGAGCCTTGTTTCTTCCATCGATGAAAGGGAAGTAATCTTGTTTGCCTTGCAGGGTTTGGGGGATAAAATGAGATCATGCGGGTGCCTAAAAAAATGCAAGATGGTAATCGTAGTGCAGGTGGTAAGTTCCCTCATTCTCCCTGCTGGGCACGAGCTGGCTGGATTTTGTCTTCGATTTCTTTCTTTCTTTTTTTAAAAAATTTTTAATGTTTATTTATTTTTGAGAGAGAGGCAGAGCGTGAGCAGATGAGGGGCAGAGAGAGAGAGAAACACAGAACTTGAAGCAGGCCCCAGGCTCCAAGCTGTCAGCAAAGAGCCCGACGTGGGGCTCGAACTCACGAACTGTGAGATCATGACCTGAGCGAAGTCAGGCACTTAACCAACTGAGCCACCCAGGCACCCCTGTCTCCGTTTCTTAAACATCTGCCAGAGAGAGATGTCCGACCCTTTCATGGGCCCCTGGCTCCTCAGCAAGATGAAAAGTCTCCTGAGAATTGCTTTTCTCTATGTCTGTCCTGAGTTCTGGTGTGTTACTGATGGCTGCCCTCTCCCCCTTGGCTGGGCGTCCCCTCTTGACGGAAGGGAAAATGGGGCATTCAGAGAGGGACTGTCTTCTCAAGGGCATGGAGATGGGGTCCTGCTCCCTGCAGCCCTGCGGTGGGAAGCTGGAGTCAAAGGAACTGGGGTCAGAGGAGGCTGTCTGGGAGGGGGTTCCAAAGGCGGATCCCCCCTGGGCCAGGCAGGCAGTGTACAGGAGTGAAGCGTGGGACCTTGGTGAGTCTCTGGCCCTCAGTTTCCTCTCTGAACGGGGACTTGGGCTCTGGGGACCCCCAGAGTGTTAGTGGGGATCTCCCACTCACACCACCTCTGCACCCTCTGAGCCTTGGTCTGTGAGAGCAGTGGCTCACGGGCCCTGCCTGCCTCTTAGGTCATGACCATGAGGCCTGGGGTGGAGCCCGGGGGGTGTGTGTGTGTGGATAATATCACCCATCCGCAAGAGGCAGACACCACCCTGCTGGCCTCAAATGTCTTCCTAGCGGGTGACCTTTGCTGATCGGAGGGCGCTGCCAGGGGCCCGGCCCCCTCCCACCTCTTTCTCACCCCCTGGGGAGGGGCCAGCTGCTCTGTGGGCAGGGCCTGCGGGGAGAGCCGCTCACCACATCCTCCCCTTCCTCCCCGCCCTGCGCACGCGGCGGGGCAGGCTAGCAGCCAAGCTCTGACAGACCAGTGGGCCTCTGCCAAGTGACCCGTGGGCTCCGGGGCCGACTGTTTGCTCCTCCCTGACTGTGACTGACAGTACACGGCTGTCTGTCTGTCTGCCTGCCTGCCTGTCTGTCTCTCTCTGGGTCTGCCTGGCGGGCCACCTGCCTGTCTGCCTGACTTCCCCTGTCTGTCCGTCTGCCTGTCTGGCCAGCCCTGGCCTGCGGTGTGTGGCTCCCCGGTGCAGCCCATCTCTGCCCTCTGTCTGTGCGTGGCCTCCCTGGGATGTGACCGACCGCTGCCTGCGACCCCAGCTGGCGCCCGCTGTGTGGCCCGCCGGCCCGAGCCCCGGCCATCCGTCCCGGTGACAGGTGGCACGCTTGTCTGGCTGTGACTCAGGGCAGGCTGCGGATCCCCAACCCCGAGACCGGCCTGCGCCCTCTGACTCTGGTCCCCCAGCCCCACACCGAGGCGGGCTCCCAGCCCGGAGAGCCCACCGGTCGGTCCCCGACACACAGAATGGATTCCTGAGGGAGAAGCTGCGACGGCAGGTAACTCCGCTCCCGCCACTGTTCTTCGTGAGGCGTGGAGGGGGTGGTTCTGGCGCCTTCTCTGCCCGAGGTGGGAGGACACGGAGGGGGTTTGCCCCCTCATCACAGCTGGGGACAGGGAGGCTGGCAGAGCTGGGGCTGGAGTCTCCTGCGCAGCCCAGCCCAGGACGCCCACAGGGCCTTTTCGGGCATTTGTAGGAGGCCTGGAGGCTTGGAGGCCAGGAGGCCTGGGGGCTGGGACATGGCTGAGCTGACCCCACGCGCTGTCTGGGGGATCCAGCTCCAAAAGGCCGGGGCCGGGGGCGGAAAGCTGGGTCCAGGCCGAACATGGTGCCACAGTCATCGCGGTCCCCGGCAGCTGAGGAGGGCCGGGGCGGGCACGGGCGGGACGGCGGGACGCTTCTGGGGGCCCATTTTGGGCAGGGGCATCGATTTGGGGGTCAGGTTCTGTGTTTTAGCTTCTTCGTGTCCTCTAAGCCCTCGAAATAGATTGCTATGCCCATTTCACAGATAGAAAACAGAGGCTCTGAGAGGCAGGCGATTGCCCCAAGGAGACTCAACAGCGCATAGCAGGCTGGGCATAGGCTGGGCAGGTGACTCGGAGGCTGGCCCTGTCCTCCACGCTGCCTCCTCACTGAGGCACAGGGGAGGGGCCGATGGTGAGAAGCCAAGGGCCCTGTGTGCGCAGAAGAGAGGGAAGCCAGGAGGCAGGGAGGCCGAGCCTGGAGGCCTGGGCTGAATCTTGACAGGTGGAAAGGAGAGGAAAGAGGAGGCAGTGGGGGGAGGAGAGGCCTCTGGTGGGAACGCTGGACTTCTGGAGGAATAGCCAGGGTGCTCGGTGGGAACAGGGGACCCGGGCAGGGAGCATTCAAAGTCAGAGACTGGTCCCCGGAGGACATCTGTACTCCCCAGGGAGGTGGGGAAGCACGCGGGTGGGTTATAGAAGCACATGGCCGAGCGGGGAAAAACCTGGCGGGTTCCAAAGCTGGCCATGCGACTCCCTAGCAGGGAGAACTTGGGCCAGTCTCTGTGCTTCTTCCAACCTCACAGAGCCTCAGTTTTCTCATCTCTAAAATGGGGATGAAGACAGCTTCATCCTCATGGGGCTAGTTGTGAGGATTTGAGGGCTTAAAAATATGAAAGTTGTTGGTCAGAGATCTGCCCAGGAAGGCGGCTTGTACCACCGGGAAGGGGAGCCCGTGGTGGAGGGGGGCCAGTGTCCAAGAGCGGTAGAAGGGGTGGGGGCACATTGGAGCACCCGCGGTCCGGCTTCCCCCAGTCCCCAATGGTCTGCTCCTCCTGGTACCGGGACTCAGCACACTGCTGGCACTTGAGGGGTTCCCATGATCCTCACTATATCAGGTGAGGCCGGCAGCCTCATTCCGCCCATTTCACAGATGAGGAGATCAAGGATCTCGGGCCCCCTGTGGCCTTGTGATGCAGAGCTGGGTTTGGGCCGCCGGTCTGCTTGACGGCAGGGCCACACCTGTCAGACAGGATGGCATAGGAGGAAGATTCATAGTCTCCAGTGCCCTTCTGAGAGGGGGAGGGAGAGCCCTGATTGCCTGCTTTCGGTGGGGTATTAGGAGAAGAACAAAATCGAGTATTAGGAGAAGAAGAGAATCGAGAGCCGGGAAGGGTGGGGTGAACAAGACAAAGCCGGAGCCCTAGGCTCCCACCTATCCAGTGAGGGGTGGGGGCGGGGGTGGGGACCACAAAAGGCTCGTGGGCAATCGGAGGAGACTCGTTCAAGAGGAGACAGAAAGAGGGAAGGCACCAGAAGCTTCGAGACGCACCACTTTCCTCCCTGGTGCCTGATACATAAATGAATGAAGGGAAGAAGGCAGGTAGGGGGTGCGGGACCCTCACCTGCTTACCCGCACAGCGCCAGTGGTGATCCGGGGCTTCGGCGGCCAGGACTGGGTGGAGCCCCAGCTCCGCCCTCTAGTACCTGTGTGACCTTGAGTAAGCCACTTCACCTCCCTTGAACCTCCGTGTCCCCGTCTCTAACATCCATTTCCGGTTTGTCGTGAGGTTTTATTCTACGTGCAGTTTCTGAGCACCCACTGGGGTGTCAGGCACTGTCCTAGGTCCTGGGGACTCAGTGCTGCAGACAGACGGGCCCCGCGCCAGGGAGGGGAGCCCGGCTTTGCAGCAGCTCACAAGAAATAGTAGCAATTAAGCTTTACTTTAAGGGTTGCTGGTAATAATTATCTGGTCAGTCACTGGAACACACTGCATCACTTCTGGCATATAGTAAGCCCTCAATAAACAATAGCTCCTATGAGGATTTTACTCTCCATTTCACAGCTGGGGAAACTGAGGCTCGGAGAGCGGTAGGGTTTTCAGGGTCGCCCAGGGAGTCATTCGCCAGCAGAAGGAAGGAAGCAGAGGGGAGAGAGGGGAGCAGACGCTTCAAAGAAGAGCCCCTTCCTCTCCCGCTTGTCCCGTTCTGCCCCTCTAGGCCACCCCAAAATGTGGGGGCGGGGCTTGGGGGGGAGCAGAGAGGAGCCCTACCCCCACCCCTGGCTCACAGATGCCACCGCCCCCACTCCTTACCCTGGCGCCTGGCCAAAGGGACTTTTTATGACAGCTCATATGCAGGATCTGAGTAAACTTGGAACCTTCTGAAGCAACCTGAGAATATTCCCCAGGGTGCAGGCAGGGGCCCCACCGATGCCCCCGAAGGCCCGGACACCTGCAGCAGGGAGCCTAGCCCACTGGTCCCCACAGCCCCCAGGAAGGGCCCGGCCGCCCAATTGTCCCCAGAGAGGTGGGGCAAGTACTCCAACCTGGCTCCCTGCTCAGGGTCCAGTCCCTCCTCACTGTGTGACCATAAGCAAGGTCCTGGGCCTCTCTGGGCCTCTGTTTCTTCGTCTGCAAGAGGGCTCGAGGACGTAGATTGGGACTAGGGCCTGCCGAGTTGCTCCTGTACGAGTCCATAACGCTCAGCCTACTTTGGCCAGGCCAGACTGGTGAGGGGCTGGCAGGCAGGGGGGCGTAGAGGGCAGGCTGCCGGCTCTGCCCCCGCCCCTCGCCCCCCCTCCTCCCCCCAGCTGCAAACCTCTCTTCTCTCTCTGCCTTCCCACCAGCCCCTCCTGGTCTGGCGGGAAGGCGGCTGGAGAGAGCCGGTGCACAGGCTGGGCGGAGTTGCTCACGCTAAAAGAGGCTTCGTGGACAGGGATCCCGGCCCGGCTGGGAGACTGACACGTTGGGATAGGACCTTCCCAAGCTGTTCAGCTCCTACTGACTAATAGGACCCCAGGGTCCTGACACCTCTGTCCTCAGACACCCACAGCTCACCCTTTGCCACTGGCAAAAAAAAAAAAAAAAAAAAAATTGTAAAAAATAACCAACATTACCCACACGCCTACACTGTGCCTGCCTCACACTGCCTCGGCCGGGCCAGGGCGCTGCCCCGTTCTATAGATCAGGAAAACTGAGGCCCAGAGAAAGGAATGGATACACCTCAGGGTCCGCTCTGGGTTAGTGGCAGAGCCTCCTTTCTGATCTAGGGCCCCCAGGCTGATTCTTCTCCAGCCTGAGAGCTCTGCTTGGCCAAGACCTTTCTGTACAACCCTGGGCACCCTGCCATCCCTCTCTGAATGTTCCTTGTTACTAATCTGATGACAGCTGTCGTGACTGCTCAGAGTCTGGGGGCTGAGGGTGTTGCTTAGGGTGCAGGGAAGTTCCTGGGGGCCGTGATGAAGCTGATGGCGAAACAGACCTCTCGGGGGCTGCCCGTGGGCCCGCTGCTGCATGACTGGACACAGCAGCTCTTGATTTGCCCTTCTTTGCACCTACTGAGTTCCCAGCCCCGTTCTATGCACTAAGGATACTTTCTTTTTGCAATAATCCCCCAGCCTCTGGGGGCTTATGCTCTGGGACAGACACAGGTCATAAACCCCAAAACAGAAGCATTTACTGAACTGATCCTAATATTACAACTGTGAAGAAGGATGTGTGGCCCAGAGAGCTGCAGGGGAGACCCAGATCAGCCAGTGGCGAGCACCTCTCTGAGGAGGCGACATTGAAGTTGAAACCAGAGGACGAGGAAGCAGAGAAGCACGAGGAAAAATCTTCTCGACAGAGGCATATGCCAAGGCCCTGAGGTAGAGGAGGAAAGGCAGAGCACTGGAGATTTTATCCTCATCGGCTACTTAAAGATGCTCAATGCACCAAATTTAAGCACGAGGAGTCAGAAAGAATAACAGTTAATTTCGGAGTGTGCAGTTTATGTAGGTTTTTACTTTGAGGGCGAGCTTCAAACTCCATTACGCTAGAAAGCTCTCCCTTTCACGTAGCCACTCATGTCACAAGAGTTTTGAGCATCCGCTGTGTGTCAGGCACTAGTTCACCGCTGGCGTTTCAGCAGTAGCTAAAAGATACATGGTCCTCACCTGGCTGTTGCTCAGAATGTCCGTGAAAACGCCCCGAGCAGTGTCCTCTGGTGGAGGGACGGACCCCAGAGGAAGGAGTGACTCATCCTCGTTGGAGGGAGTTGAAGACTGACAGACGAGGTGACACCTGAACTGGATTTTGAAAACTGAGTAGGAGGCTTTCAGTCTGCCTGGCAGGGGGAGGGGGGGGGCGGGTGCCGGAGGGGGAGTTCCGGTGGCTGAAAGAGCACGTGCAGAGGCGAGGAAGGCGGATGAAGGGGGACTGGTGGTGAGGCTGTCGGGAGTCTGGCGTCCCTGCAGCCCCAGGATGATGCTGGGGGTCGGAGGGAATGTTGGGGGGGCCGATCCTGAAATGTCCTGAATGCCGGCCTAAGGAACTTGGGGTCTTCTCTGAAGGGCAATGGGGAGCCACAGAATGCTCCAGCTGTAAGGTGGACGAGGTTGGAAGGGCCGCAGCTGGATGGGGGAGGAGGCCAGCAGGAAGGCCGGTGGGCAGAGGTCCTTGAAGACCAGGGGTAAACTGGGAGCCCTCTCTTCCATGTTCCCTTTCGGGAAGTCCCTCAGTCTTGACACTTCCCCATCGGGCGACCTGTCAGCTCT